TTGGAAGCAGAATTGTTGCTACATTCGTTAACCGTACAGTACTGCCATGCACTAAGGGTATAATCATTTTAAAGGATTTCTTTTAGAAGACCTAGGCGGTGATACTCCAGTATTGAAGACGGGACTGTGCTTATGGGACTGTAGGAACCAGAAGTTTAGCCAATGTGCTTCAAATACTGATTGAGCTTACCAGCTCTGGGACAAGACAGGTGGCATTTCCGTCTTTAGCTGTATCTAGTCTGTGCTTCAGCCTCTTCATCTGGCATGATAATTAGCCTTTCTCAGGAGGTTATTTGAAAAGACCAAATGAGATGACGTGTGTAAAGGGCTTATTCTCATGCTTGGCTCCTAGTACATCGCAACTTTTATTCTTGGTCTCTCCCAACCCATTCCCCCTACACAACTCTTCAGATAAGGACCAAAATATTAATCAACTCAGGTGTTGGTGCAGAGGACCAGTCTTAGAAAGCTGAACCACTTACCACTTACATGAGTAGACATCCTTTACTATCTGCATTTTATCATTAAAACTTTAGAAAGTAGAGGAGGCGGGAGTTGGCATGTGGTAGAGAGAAGTGCAGGGGGCTTACTTTTTTTTAGCTTATCCCTTAATGAGTAACTTCATTTGATGTCATCAGTATAACAAATGTGTATATGTTTATGAATGTGAGTATATATAAGTGTAATCAGTGTGTCAAATGAATAGATATATAGTCAACTGTATTCATTTGATATGTGACCAACTAGCCTAACAGGATGACATAAATTCTGTCTTTCAGATCTTACAGGATAATAAAATTAAGAGGGTTACCTGATCCAACTCTAAAGTAGATAAGAAAACTTTCTTGAAAGCCAAATGGTTTAAAATTAAATGCCTAGTTATTTGCATAGTTGGGCATAGAGTCAATTTTGACTGATCCCAGATTCAGTCATCTTTCCCCGCTGAAATAGGTCCCTTATCCCTCACTAAGCTTGGCCTAAAGGTAACTCTAATGTATCCTGGTTAGGGAGACAACAAATTTCAGTTGTCACTCAGCCCTGCCACTCACTAGAGAAGTTATAGCGGCAAATTCACATTAAGCCTTGACTTCATCCCAGGTAACATGTTGATAGTACCCATGTTATAAGGCCCTATGGGGAATTAAATCGTGTAGTGTGTGTGTGTTATGGAGCCCAACATATTGTAAGTCTTCATACGTGATGGCATGCTTATATAACTCCTTTAAAAATTATTCTCTTAATGTTCATTGTGAAATGTATAATATGTAGATTAGCAAAAAGAAAATGAAAAGCACCCAGAACACCATCATCCAGAGACGATCTCAGACTTTCCGTATGTATTTTTCTCATTTAGTTTTGATTGTACTTAAATCATCTGAAAAATACAGCATGAAATCCTGTGTGTTGGTGACCCATTAGAACAGAATACTTCACATTAATCGTGAAAGAAAAAGCCACAACAAAGACTAATCATTCTTTCAAAAGAACAGAACATTACTACTAGAAGTTTTGCCATGTTATATCTAACAACATGCATGTATACATTGAATCTATTAGTTTTCCCAGTAACTTTGTTACTTTTTCTTTCCCTTTTTAAACTCCAACTTGAGTTGTCTATGCATCTGCCAACAAGTTTTTTCCCTTTAATATAATGAATTGTCTATCCTACAGACCTTGGAAATAAGTCTTACCAGATTAGACTTCTAGGGACTCAGAGAATGCTTTGATTCGCAGTGTTCATGTTTAAGCTGCAAAACCCTTTTTGTTCAAGGAAGTTTAAATCACTGTGAGGAGGAATGTCAAAAAAACAAATTGTTATCTTTTGTATCTCCTTGTTCAAGAAAAGTGATTTTATAGGGTCCTTTCCATGGAATGTGCATTGATGTTCTAAAGTTTTAGCCTGGCTGGTCTTTGTTTTTGTTGCATCTTCATTTTGTGGCCTGAGGCTAGTGAGCTAAAAAGATTAGTTCATGTCAAAGAGTTTGCTTTCCAATTGAAGGTTACTGGAGGAATGCTTCTCCTGGATCGATTGTTGTGTGCGTGTTGCCATGAGCTCAGACGGTTTTAATTTCTTAGACTTACAGTGGTGAATCGTAGGCTACTTTTAAGACTGTCCAGTCCCTTCCCTGTCAGGGCTTGAGGCAGGTCTTTCCCAGGCCATAAAAACTGGGCAGAGATGGGGTTGACGGCAGAGGGTGGTAGCGGGAAGGCGGGGCACCCAGTGTGTCTCCATACTGAGGGGAAATATAAATTGTGTCCCAGTAAGAGAGTACCAGGAGCCACAGTTGAGACAGTGTGAAGGAAGGTGGTCAAAGACAGCTGTAGGACGCTAGGGCTCTGAGAGCCAAGAGTAGAAGAGCTATTGAGAGTGACTTGAAATAGAGCCATAGAAGGTGGGGCTCACCTTGGGGTCCAGCTTTATTGGTAGCATCCTGTACTGGTGGGTTAAGCTTGTTAAAGGACTCTGGACAGATCAAAAGAAAGCAAAGTTAGGAATTAAGAGGTTGTTATTAACCTTCAGCAACATTTTCCCTGAATGTTATTAATGGTGTTCCTATTTAGGAAAATGTTGCTCATTTGAGAGCTGTTTGTTTCGGTACTCGGAGTTATTGCCAATGCTGGCTTTTTTCCAATCCTGGTAATCCTCCGAGGTTTCCCAAAGAAAAAAGTGCTTTGTTTTGTTTTTCCCTTCTCCCCATGGGATAACTGGTTTATGTATAATTTAATTATTTTGTTAACCAGTTATCCTATCACAGCATACAAAAACAACCTTAAAAACCCACCTCCCTGCTCTGTGCTAAGATGTTCATAATTGATTTTCCCACCATTACAAGTGCATGTATAACAGCGAAATTTCTTGCTAAAAGCTAAATTGGACTGACTCTATATTTTATATTTTCAGGAGTGCCCTTGGAGCCTTAGGAAGTAGTACCCAGTGATTTAGAATAAGAAGAACTAAAATAAATGATCAGTTTCAAAGAGGCATTACAGTCTTGAGGCTTCTGTAGGGAAGTCATCTTTTTAAAAATCACCTGGGACTGGTATTTTCATCACAGTGAATCTTGAAAGATTCTTCTTGCAGTGGCAGAGTGGGGAGGGAACTTTATCACTATCTGGTCTTGCTCATGTCTCTCCTCTTAGTTGATTTTTTTTAGTCTTATTTCATCTTTCCCCATCATTCCATTCCTGGGAAAACGTTTTATCCTAGTGGGTGGCTGGTAAATTTGGTTGTTTATTTGGTGTGAGGTTTATTTCAAGTCTGTACCTTCCTTGCTCATGCTTTTTTTTTTTTTTTTTTTTTTGCAGGGATGGGGGTGGGATGGGGTGACATTAAATATCTCACAATCAAGTCTACAATCCATTTGAAGCCTTCATGTTATAAATATGGTTTATTGAGTCCATTTGCACAAATCTAATTGGAGCTAAATAATTCAATCTGGCCTAAGAATACAAGGTACAGATGTGCATAATGCTGCTGAGACCAGCTTAGGCTTCATCCACTTGCAGACTTTTTCTTTGCTGTTTTTCCTCATTTTTCTCATTTGTGGAGCTGCAGATATTGTCTTTCATGGTCGTGTTGTTGTCAGATCCCAGTGATTAGACTGTAGGCCTCCAAGGCAAGTTGGTGTTTTCTTTTTTATGAGTAAAAACCATTTCAGCTTTCCTTGTGGGGAATCCTTTTGAGTCTCTGAATCATTCACAAATATGGTAAGGTCTAATTTTATTCCATAAGAAGAAAAGAGAATATTTCACTTTTCCTATTCAGAGCTTCCGCCCTCTCCCCGAGCTTTGCTTCTCTCTGCTTATTGCTTTGGGATCATCTGCAGTGGCAGATGGCTTTATGCAAATCAGGCCAATTACTTTGGTTATAGTACAGATCACCTTGCATTATGAGTAACTTCTAGATTAGTAAAACCGACATGTTTCTTGGAAAACTTACCGAGACTGAAAGGGCAAACTGTCTTCTGCTGACCCATGAGGCCATGGTTCCACACATGTCTCTGCCATCTTAGTGACCACTTTAAGGACATTCCCTCACTCTCCTGCTCATTAAGTTTTATAGGTCTACCTGGCCATAGAAAAATTATTTTCAATGCCTGTTTGTTAGCCATATTTCATAATCTCATTATTTATTAGTAAACAGGTGATAATGCTGTCTTCATTATGACTAGTTTTGACAGAGAATAGACATCAATATAACTTTAATGCATTTCTCATTTTTTTGCTAGAAATTAAGTTGCCTTAATAGTCTTTGATAACCTTTGCTGAAATTTCTATAAAATCAAGTTCTTTTTTCCTTTCTCTTTCCTCCTCCCCTCAATTTCTAAACCTTATGCATTGACAGAACAGTCCATCTTCCAGAATGGCTCTCACAAGATCATCAAGGTTTTTTTTTTTTTTTTCCTCCTCCTCAAATAGGTTTTATCACCTTATTTCTTGAGATAGTGTGAAGTGAATAGCTAGAAAATGAGAGAAACCTTGACCAATGAGCCCTAAACTATCAGTAGCATTCCTAACCCAGATAAAGGATTGAGTTCTGTGGCTTCAGTGCCATTCAATTTCCTTTCCAGATATGCCACAACAGATAAAGATCATTCCTGTCCATTTGCTAAATGGTCACAGAGACACCTTAGATTCTCATTCCCTGGTGGCAATGTTTCAGTCTTTTAACTTTCTGCCATTAGACTCCCTTTCCTTCTGGTACAGAGATACAGAGATGTGAGGATTAAATGACTAAGGAATTAATTGCTGTAGAGTACTTTGAAGGACAGATGTAAAATATAATCTCTTTCTTCTGACCTTTGCTGCTGATTGTTTCATCTGAGAGAGGGCACTTGTATCTCGAATACTAGCTAAAAGCATGGGAATTTGGCTAATAATAAAAATAGCACATATTAATATAGTGCTCGTTGTGTGCCAGGAGCTGTTCTCGGTGCTTTGTTTGTATATTAATTCATTATAGATGAAGTTGCATACTTAGTGTCACTGATGTTTTTTAGGTTGAAAATTGGTGTCCTCATTTACCTTGGAGAGCAAAAAATCCCTACGAAGAAGCTGATCATAATTCATTGGTAAGTGATTTTGGAAAACTCTTTCTAGACTTGGGCATTTAGGTCAGATGCCAAGTGATACATGTGGAATCTTCTAGAAATGTCAACTGTAACCTGAAATAGTGTTACACTGAAAAACTTCTGTTATTCATCTCTGTGGAAGTCTAGGTGACCAAATCAGTCAACCATTAGCATATGTTTGTTTACTGAGCAATTCTCTGAGGGTTCCTAAATGATGGGCTACTGATATGAGTAAGACCTGGTACCAGATGTGGAGGCCCTACGTGATCTAATAAGGGTGATGGCAGATAATGACCATCTCTGTCACAAATGCTGTAATCTAGGCCTGTGGGAATTAATGAGGAAGAGCTCATTTTAGTCTGCAATATTCAGGGTAGATTGCATAGTGAAGATGACATTGGAGCTGAATTTAAAATGATGAGTGATTTTATATAAGGTCAAGGAGAAAAGGGTATCTCTCATATGGGAAAATGAGAGCATGGCAGTTTCTAGGAGTAGAGCCTGCATGGTTCAGTTGGCCAAGGCCATAGGGGATTGGATGAGCTAGGCTGAAGATGAAACTGGGAAGGTCGGAAGGGGACTGTGAAAGTACCTGTTGCCCCATTAAAAGCATAAGTCTTTATTCTTTAGACCATAGATCAGCAAACTTCTGCAAAATACCCGGATAGTAAATAGTTTCATCTTTGCAGGCCATGTGGTCTCATTGCAGCTCCTCAATTCTGCCATTGTAACAGAGAGAGCAGCCCTGGATAATATGTAAATGAAGGGGCGTGGCTGAGTTCCAGTAAAATTTTATGCACAAAAATAAGCAGTGAGGATTTAGCCCAAGGGCTGTAGTTTGCTGATCCATGCTGTAAACCACAGGAGTCCTAGGATATTGTTTAGTCAAGAAGGGAAATGAAACTGGGTGTAGTGGCTCATGCCTGTAATTTCAGCACTTTAGGAGGCTGAGGCAGGAGGATTGCTTGAGGCCAGTCATTTGAGACCAGCCTGGGCAATACAGCAAGACCCCATCACTACAAAAAATTTAAAAACTAGCTGAGCGTGGCGTGTGCCTATAGTTTCAGCTACTTGGAAGGCTAAGGTGACAAGAGGATCGCTTGAGCCCAAGTTCAAGGCTCCAGTGAGCTGTGATCATGCCACTGCATTCTAGTCTGGGTGGGAGTGTGAGACCCTATCTCAAAGGGGAATAAAGAAAGAAAAGAGATGAGTGTTTAGAATGAGCTATGGTGGTGGCTGAAAAGGTGGATTCAGCATGTTTGAGATGTTCTGTGAAATCCTGGTTACTATGTTTCTCTGTTATTCCAGTCACTGATTGTATCCAGCTATATTCTCTAGAACATTAGGAAAAATATTCTTCCTGGCTTTTAAGTTATTCTGGTCTGAATTTTAAATTGTACTTGCTCATGACAGAAAAGTAGTATTCCTGGCTCTTAAATTCCTTAGAGAACAATGAATTTTTGTTTGGACTGGGACAAAACCAGAAGATGAACATTTATTTCCCTGTTTAACTCCATGGACAGAAAGAGGCTTTTTGGCAACTTCCACGTTGTCAAACAGCCTGCTAAGAATTGACTTCAGTTTTCTTAGAAGTCTGCTGTCCTATGGTAGATCCAAATGGCACAGTAAATTTGAGTGCTGAAAATTTCAAGGTACATCAAGCATACTCATTATAAAAACTGCATTTGAACATAGCTCAGGGCTTTGTAATGCCTGTGCTGCTTTTCTCGATTTCTAATTTTTTAATGATGTCCCTTCCGGCAGATCAGCAGTCAGCAGCCTTTGCTTCAATTTGCAGTCCTGGGACCTTAAAGTCAAAGCTGCAGCAGACAAGACTTACTTTTGAAGCTCTCAATTTAATTGACTAACCCTTTTAAGTTTTCAAATGTCACATCATGAAAACCATTATGCTTTCTGACTTTTTATCTCCTATTCATTTTATTAAATTTCTGTTGCTAGGCGGAAATTCGTACAGATTTTAATATTCTCTACAGTATGATGAAAAAGCATGAAGAATTCCGGTGGATGAGACTACGGATCCGGCGAATGGCTGACGCATGGATTCAAGCAATCAAGTCCCTGGCAGAAAAGCAGAACCTTGAAAAGAGAAAGCGGAAGAAAGTGAGTTTCTTATTAATTCAGTGCAGTTAGATGCCAGTTTTCTTTTAAAATTTGATTTTGCTTGGAAACAAGACTAAGAGAAATGTCATATCTCAAATGATACTCCCTCAGGGTGATTCTGCTCAGTCTCTTGTACAGCTGTTTTTGGGTTGGCCTTTGCCTACTTACAATGCTCCTGCTTAGCAGGGTCTGGCACAAGTTTCTTGGGTGAAGCCAAGCAGAATATCTGCCTGTAAGACTTTTCCTTCGAACCTGTCTTTGTCAGGGTATCAGGAAACTTTCCCCCATTTCCTTACCTGAATCCAACCTTTGAGAGCTTCCTATTATATCATCATGAAAATTTTATATTTTTGTTGATTTTCATCCCTGGCTTTTGGACAGCCAGTGAGTTTCATTGTTACTCTGGTTGGTGCTTCTGCTTCTCCTCCTAGGAGAGGGAGAGAAAAATTTGATTAAATTTGAGCCAGTTGCTTTCTAGTTCATGAGGAGAGACTTGGAAAACCTCTCGAATACCCCTGGACTTAGAAGACTTTATGCCCTGTTAGCTATGGATTTGGTGGTCTGGCTTTAGATTAACTGTTCTGATTTCAGAACTGAGCAAAGGGAACAATTTGCTCCCACATCTAAAAATCTTAAAAATGAGTTTGATATTCCTAATCCAACTGATCTGATCTGATATGTTTGAAAAAGAAAATAAAGATATATTTGCAAGACCCCAAACCACAGTTTGATAGATCACTTTTGCCTAGATCTCGTGAATTTGTGAGACAGCAGGACGAAACATTCTGTCACCAAACGGTCATGTATGGAAGAGCATGTGTTCACATGCACAGGTGGACTGTAAAAAGAAATAAAGAATTTTTCTATATATTCCTGTGGACTAACCTCGAGGATGTATTGTTAGGTGAAGAAAAGTAGAGAATAGTGTACATTATTTTTAAGAGAGAGAGGAAATTTATATCTATGTATACATATAGATATATACAGATACATACATTTGCTTCTTGCTCTTAGTTTGAAAATGTATTTTTCTTATTTTGATAAACTAAAATTAAAAATAAAGGAGATGGTGATGATGGTTGCACAATAATGTGAATGTGCTTCATGCTGCTGAACCGTATACATTAAAATGGTAAATTTTATGTTGGGTGTATTTTACTACAATAAGGGGGAATAAAAAGGTCAAATAAGGGGAGTTGGGATTAGCATGGAGGCAACAGAAACTGCCATAGAAACTAGACTTCTGAATATATCTGACTTTGTAGATTTGACACTGGAATCATTTTATGTAAGTGCTAAATGAAATTTTATTACCAAAAACTAAAAATTAGGAGGAATACAAAACAAAAGAACTGACTATATATCCATCCAGTTTTGATGGAAGCACACAGAAAGATTATTCTTAGTGACTCTAGAACACAGTAAACGATACACTTCTGATGGGATATCACAAAGGATAAAAAACTGTAAAAACATCTTAAAACCATTTTTATTAATCATGTAATATGCGGTAGCATTGATATTCTCATTCTGAATCCATTGTGAACATTGGAGTAAAGCAGATGAGTAATTATGTTAGTGTCTTTGAGAAGTGGGATCTGCAGTGTGGAAGAAAAGAATTAATGGATGGTAGGATTGGTGATGTTATGTAAAAACACTGTAACCCTGAGTTTGAATTGGAAGCACCAGTCGGAACTCATGATTTGCTTTATCTTTGAGGAAAAACAAATTTCCTAGGTAGGGCCACTGTAAGGCCTATAAATAGTAATAAAATTGAGTCCCTTAAGCCCCACACTTTAGTCTCTAAATGCTATTTCTACTAAGTGGTATAAGAGGTTCTTGGAAAAATGGCTTATTAAGGTCCAAGGCAGAAATTGTACCTGTTGAGCCTAGAACAATCTTGTCAGGCACCACGTGCGGAGAAGCTATCAAAGAAGACTAAGATCATGTCAAAGGAACTTAGGAGCCAGCTTGGATAGCCTCCCACAGGCCTAGGTGGGACAATTGGATAGTTGGTAAGAGGAATATCCACAATATTTTGAAGCATATCAAATAGCTTTGATGTTATAATGATTTTTTTAATTAAAAATCCTCATAGATCATCATTAGAGTAGGCTAAAAAACAAGTTTATTGTTCTGAAAAACTGGCAAATAAAGAGAAAGACTCAAATATTTACCAGGCTCCTTCTATACCAAGTACAAGTTTGGCTGCATTTATCTATAACCTTAGAGTTAACCTCAGGGTGACCAAATAGTTGATGAGGGGTAGTTTCTCTTCATAGAGAGGCATTCCAGCTAATAAACAAAGAATGGTAAAATATCATTTTGCAGTCCCTAATGGATTAATGGATCTAGCTAGTGACCATCAAGGACTGCTAACATCCCAAGACAGACACACCTGTACATTGTTTCCTGTGAGGCTAAGAGACATATGAGGCAATTATTATGTATGTTCTCTGACTCTTGAATCGCACAAGTGCACTTAGAAAAAATAAAGGGCAGTTGAAGAAGTATGAATATTAACTAGATATCGGATGATGTTAAGGAATTACTAGGTTTTTTAGGGATAGTAGTGATGTTCAAGTTATATTTTTCAAGTGAAGGTTTGTTCCTTTCAGAAATGCATACCAAAATATTTACAGATGAAAGGATATGTCTAGAATTTGCTTTGAGATAATCTAGAGGGGTTGGGAGAAAATGGGGGTATAGATTAAGATTTGTCATGCATTAATAATTGTTGAAGCTACACAGTAATTACTTTGGTATTGACTATTGTCATGCATATTCAAATTTCCAATACTTTCTATGTATTTGAAATTTTCCATGGTAAGAGGTTAGAAGTATTTTAGCTGTAGATAAAAGACCAAGAGTGTTAGAAACTGTTGTCCTGTCTTACCTTCCTTTAATCCTGATTTTAAAAATACACTGTGCTTTCAAAAGGTGGGATTATCTGTCCATAACCTTGTACTCATAGCCATACCAATGGCTGCAGTGATTTTATTTCTCTAAAACCACAATGAAAAATTATTTCCTTCCTTTGTACCTTCTAGAAAAACAGCATTCCCCACACTGAGATTTTGTTAGGATGTAAACATGACTTTGGGATTTGTTGATCACTTCTTGGCGCAGTACTGTGCATTTTGTATGTGGTTCAGTGTGAATCAGTATATGCCTCTCTGTTTTCCAGGTCCTCGTTCACCTGGGACTCCTGACCAAGGAATCTGGATTTAAGATTGCAGAGACAGCTTTCAGTGGTGGCCCTCTTGGTGAATTAGTTCAGTGGAGTGATTTAATTACATCTCTGTACTTACTGGGCCATGACATTAGGATTTCAGCTTCACTGGCTGAGCTCAAAGAGTAAGGAGATTACTTTTCAATTTTAAAATCAGAATACAGGAAAGAAATTGTAAACTCTTGAAGTGTTACCTCTATTAGTGTGTAATTTTTTGTCGAGGAAAATGAAAGTGATAATTCACTAAACAGGAGATAAGAAGATTATTTTCAGGAGCTAAATACATACACTGTGAAAAGGATAATATGTTTTCATTGTACCTGAAGGCTCCAGAGGCTTCATAAATGAATGCCAGAAAATTCAAACTAAGGAGCTTATTCTTTGCTATTACAGGTGCTTCCAACATCTGTAGCACGAAACATTATTGACTTTCCTAATTCCCTGTCTCTTGCTAAAATTCATACCACTGCCTACTCAACATCAATCTTTCTAAGTCTTAAAACAGGGCAGGTTCCTGTTTGTAATTTAATTTGGATAGAATAAATTTCCTGAAAGCCCAGAGCCGGTCCTTTTTCAATTAGCCAACTTTCACCTGAGTCTGTTAACTCTACTTGGGTGTTTTATTTCACTGAAATTTGCTTCTAGCTCCAGCCCTCCTGTAATCCCTTCTATATTGGCATAGCTGGCTGAGCAGGGACACTTCCATCCCCTGCAGTTGCTTAGGATAATTGCCCATGGAGACTTCCCACCCAACAGTCAAGTTGTCATGTTGCTATATGTCATATATTTCCAGAAGAAATACCTTGAATGAACATTCTAGAGCTCATTGAGATGAGAGACATGTTAAAACAATATATGGTGGCTCCCAGCACTTTGGGAGGCCAAGGTAGGTAGATCACTTGAAACCAGGAATTCAGGACCAACCTGGCCAACATGGCGAAACCCTGTCTCTACTAAAAATACAAGAATTAACCAGGTGCAGTGGCCCATGCCTGTAGTCCCATCTACTCGAGAGGCAGAGGCTGCAGTGAGCTGAGATCATGCCACTGCACTCCAGCCTGGGTGACAGAGCAAGACTCTGTCTCAAAAAAAAAACAAAAGCAAACAAAAAAGAAATTGGATACACAACCTACAAAGTGGCTGCATTTGTACAGTTAGCAGTCACTCATCTGGTGCCTTCTATAGGCTAGTTTTGGTGTGGGACATACAGAGATGACCAATGCGTGGTCAAGGAGCTGCCAATCATTTGATAATTACAATTAATATATTACATAGTAACTACACTAATTCCAGTTCTATTGGTGCTAAGTGAGGTGTATGTGGATGCTAGAATGTAAGCACTGGGATTACAGAAAACTGAGTATTGTCACTATGTAGTGGGCATCTAGATAGTGCCTAGCAAGTAATGAGTACTCACATAACTATAGAGTGAATGAGTGAAGGAATAAATAGGTGAATGAATGAGTGGGTAGGTAAATAAATGGAGTGCTGTGGTAGTACCAGGGACAAGTACTGCCTGGGGAGGTCAGGAAAGGCATGTTAGGGATTTATCAGTCAGAGACTGAATTTGATGGTCGAGGGAAAATTTGTTCAGTATGTCCTCACTTAACATTGTTGATAGGTTCTTGGAAACTAGGACTATAACTGAAATTATGTAAAATCAAGCCAGTTTTTTCCATTAACATTATAACCACTGATTTGAAGGAAATGACTTTATTGGTGGGCCTGCTATCTGTTGTTTTGTTTAAAGTCCCGGTTTTCAGGAACCTATTGATGATGTTAAGTGAGGACTTAACTCTAGTAGTCTTTATGCACACTGGGGTCAGGGCTAGATGTGTTTTATTTAAGAAGATAATTGTGGAAGCAACATAGAACAGTGGTCTTTAAATATATCTGTACTTTAGAACCACCTGGAGATCTTTGTATTTATTTTTTAACTTTGGGGTATCTTTTAAAAATCCCACAGACCATGCCACAGGCTAATTAAATCACAACCCTTGGGGGTAGGGCAGAGCCATAAGTATTTTGTGATGCCTCCAGGTAATTTCATTATACCGGCGAGTTTGGGAAACACTGAGCATCATGTTTGCAAACTATGGCTCAGCAGGCCAAATCAGCCCTCTGTCTTTTTTTGTAAATAAAGTTCCATGGGGCCAGGCATGGTGGCTCACGCCTAAAATCCCAGCACTTTGGGAGGCCGAGGCGGGTGGATCACCTGAGGTCAGGAGTTCGAGACCAGCCTGACCAACATGGTGAAACCCTGTCTCTCTTTTGTAAAAATGCAAAAATCAGCCAGGTATGGGGACAGGCACCTATAATCCCAGCTACTCAGGAAGCTGAGGCAGGAGAATCGCTTGATCCCGGAAGGTGGAGGTTGCAGTGAGCCAAGATCGTGCCATTGCACTCCAGCCTGGGCAACAAGAGCAAAACTCCATCTGAAAATAAATAATAAATAAAGTTTCATGGGAACACAGCCATGCCTGTTGTTTACATATCATGTATAGCTGTCTTCATTCCACAACGGGAGAATGGGCCAGTTGTGACTGAGAATGTATGGCCTGCAAAGATGAAGATATTCACTGTCTGGCCCTTAACAGAAAGGGTTTTCTGACTCTTGGGAAGAAACTGGTTCTGCAGAACCTAGTTCTTTCATAAACAGGGGAGAAGGAAGGAGGGTGGCTGATGTGGTGGTTAATACGGAGCTGTCGAGCAGAGTCCTGTTTGTGACTCTTGACCTTTGAAGCAGGATGTTCATAATTTGGTGAAGGATTATTGTGGGGTGTGGGCTGGGATAAGCAACAGTGGTGGTTGATTAGTAAGTGGGTAGCAGTAGGGTTAGCAGTTACTTGTTCCTACACATGAAGTTGGCCTACCAATCAAGTACATCATCACACTCTGAGCACAAGTGTGGTTTTATGTGGATGAATGCATGGGTGGGGGAAAGGGTGATAAAAATAAAACTATAAACCGTAGTGCCAGTTCTGTAATATGGTCAAGCTAGGAGGAAAAATTTGACATAGCAGAAAAAGTTAAGGAACAGTATGAGACAGGTAGAAAGAAGTTAATACTATAGAGGCTAGAAATTGAAGACATTTAGAAAAAGGGGATGGGGGCAGGTTAATAAGGGTGCTGAGCAGTAAGAACAGGCTCTGGGGGAGAAAACTAAGTTGTTGAGTGTCTGGTATTCATTAGGCACTTTCTTTTCAGTATCTCATTGTGAAGAACCCCTGAGAGATTGGCGTCCAATGCTCTTTGTATCCAGTCCTTGTTTTCTGGAATGAGCAAAGAGTTTGAGAGAGGTTAAGTAACTTGTTTAAGGTCTCACAGCTGCTGCATAGTGGTGATGGAGTCAGACCCATGTCTTCCTTGATTTCAAAGACTGTGTTTATATGCCACCATTTGCACCATTTTGCATGAGTCAGAATCAGGGTACTGGGTTGGCCTTAATGGATGGAAATAATTTAGCAGATTTGAAAGGGCCATGCTGTCATCTCTAATAAGGATTGTTGTGGTGGCATTTGACCATTAAAGTTGCCAAGTTTATTACCTTTTAAGTAAATGATTTTTCTCTTTTTTCTCCCCTCTTGCCGTTTCTCTAGAATCATGAAGAAGGTTGTAGGAAACCGATCTGGCTGCCCAACTGTAGGAGACAGGATCGTTGAGCTCATTTATATTGATATTGTAGGACTTGCTCAATTCAAGAAAACTCTTGGACCATCCTGGGTTCATTACCAGTAAGTGCTGCATGGTTTTCTGACTTAAGGGGTTTTTTCCCCCTCAACAAAGGTTGCATGGTTGTGGGTAGAAAAAGCTTACCAAATAGTATCTTTTCAGCTGTATGGAGTGTATTGCTCATTCATAATTGAAATTCAGATTCTCAGTGACTTTGTACTTTCTTTGGCTATTCATTATTTTCATTGGTTTCTTAAAAATAGAAAACAAGTGTTCAACCTCCTTTCTACCTTGACTAGTATTAATACTTAGCCTTCCTCTCAGTATGCGTATGCTAGTGTTATCTATTTAATCAAATAACCATTTTGATAAGATATGTACAGTGTCATTTCTTGTGTTCCTTGGGTTTTAGATCATGATTGACTTTTCTTACCCTTTACCTCATCAGTATTCTTGTCATTCATGGAAGGGAAATCTGGGAATACGTTATCTGAATGCTGGGATCTTGCACTTTTTAAGATAAGCCAATGATTAGTATGACTGTGGTGCATGTGTACTCTGTGCAGTCTTTATTATTTAGTAGAGTAGCTCAATGTTTCCCTGAGTGTGGGTTTGGGACCACGATTTAGTATTTGAAACACTTTTACCTGGTATACAAACATGGCCCTAAATCACAATGAATTATATAAAGAAATTTATTAATTTTTCAATTTTCTTTCAGTCTTTTTGAGAAAAGGTGTAGTTTGATACTACTATATCTCTGTCACTACTTTTAACACATGCATTCTTAACAATGTGAGAGTAGCTGTGAGTCTCAGCATTCAGCAGGCAAAAGTATCTATTCTAAATTGTAAAATACTTCCTAAAGGTTATATGCTTTTTTGTTGTTGTTATCTTGCATGTATGGCGGTCAATACTGGGTTTTTTCTTTCTAATTTTTGGGGTTTTTTAAATTTCTCATTTTTATTTTTTGTCTTGTCTTTTATTGCTTCTGTCCTTTATCACATTTAAAAATTCCTCTCATTACAAAGGTCCCCCAAACCACCAAATTTGGTCCTTGCCAGGAGTATCAAATGATTTGGAGGTCTTTAGTCATGAGAGAATAGTAAACAACAGTACTAGATAACACTGACTACTCATGTCAGTTTCATTAAGACTAATAACTTTATGGACAGAGAAACTGAGTTATTTTGCCAGTTTTAGAATGAATTTTTTTAAATTATACTTTAAGTTCTAGGGTACATGTGTACAACATGCAGGTTCATTACATATGTATAAATGTGCCATGTTGGTGTGCTGCACCCGTTAACTCGTCATTTACGTTAGGTGTATCTCCTAACGCTATACCTTCCCACGACAGGCCCCGGAGTGTGATGTTCCCCACCCTGTGTCCAAGTGTTCTCATTGCTCAATTCCCACCTATGAGTGAGAACATGCGGTGTTTGGTTTTCTGTCCTTGTGATAGTTTGCTCAGAATGATGGTTTCTAGCTTCATCCATGTAGCTACAAAGGACATGAACTCATCCTTTTTTATGGCTGCATAATACTGGGTTTTATTTATGGTCTTTAAAAGTTTCCTTTAAAAAATAAATTCTAAAAGGTGAATAAACTTACGTAAATGGCACATAAATATAAAAAAAGCAAAACTAAAAACTTGCTGCAGGCCAAGATAGTGCTCTACCTTTTGCATTAGGTTTTTTCCTGGTTTTGGCTTGTTTCTTGAAATCTTGACGAAAGTAGAGTTGTTGTTTTCTACCGTTTTGTAAATGGCAGACATCTGATAAATGTGCAAAGGAATCTATGCAGTACAGGCTTCCCTTGACTCACATATCCTCGCTATTAAGAAGAGTTCTTTGGATGGAAAAATATTCTCAGTGGTAGTGTTTAGGTGGATTAAAAAAGGATAATTTTGTTATTAAAATGGTCACCGTTGATTGGCATTTCATTCTTGTTGGACGAACAGGCACCATCTCAGAGGGGGTTTTATGGATGAATGTAATGTTTATCTGCCTTTCTTTAATAAATCATCTTTGTTAGTGATATTACCTGGCAGGAGGTCTGTTAGTGCTTTAGGTCTGCAGTCTTTGTGGTGTGATGAAGCGAAGATTCTATTAAAAGTCTACTCAGGTCCCCTTGGAAGTTTCTTGCCGATTTCTTTCCCTTTTAAAAATTAGAAATTGTCAGAGAAGATTTAAAATTTTCCCTTTTAAAAATCAGAAATTTAATGGAATACATACCAACAACCAAGGTGAATTGTCAGTATTCATCTTGGTTGTTGGTATGTATTCCATTAAATGTATTGTTGTTATCTGATCTTTCAATTAGGAGCAAACCCTTGGAAAATTAATTGTAAATTTTGTCCAATTTACGTAGGGACCTAGGAAATTCAGTTAAACATATATTACATACCTACATGCAACTAGTATTCTGCTAGTCACTGCAAAACTCATACCCATTTTACTTCCTACAAGGCCTTTGTCGAAGGACTTACAAGAAAGTAAACTGCAAGTAGTCTGAGATATGCCATGTTTTATGTCAAACACCAGCTTAGAAATTAGGGCATGGCAAGGAGCTCCTAAACATCCATTTCATAGTAGTGTGGCTGACAGCAAAGAGAAGGTTTCAGGAGTTACTTGGCATGACTGCTGTGATCCCTGTTAAAAGAAGACGAGCTGCGTTGGGCATCAAAACAAATATCTTTTTAAGTCATTAGTCTGCTTATGATGTTCCAGACACAGAGACATTAGAGGGAAGGCCTAAATATTAGCAACACATTATAAAAATAGTTGCAAAACACACAGATGCAGGATGTGATTGAAGAAGGAAAACTGTAATGTCAAACCTTCCATGTGCTAGACCAAGTCCAGTGTCCTGTCTGTGCTTTATAAATTAAACCTAGATAAGCTAGAAAAACAATTCCCAAGCAAAAGCCTCAAGTAAAAGGATGTCAAATTATAAATTTCTGGGAGACAGCTGATCATTCCATTCCTCTTTCAGGAAGAGTCCAGTGCCACATAGCTTACATCTAGGCACTGTGCAAAGTCTGGGCTTTCAGGCGTTAGGCCCTTAGCAGATAGCTTTACTCATCAGGATTTGTTTTAGTTGCCCAAATCAAAAATAACAATAATAAAACTTCAAGTTAAAAATATGGTCACCAGCCAAAGCTAGAGAAGAGTATATCGTTAGCATTTTATAGCCATGAGTTCCACATCCACAGATTCAACCACAGACCAAAAATATCTGAAGGAAAAAGATAATAATACAATAATAAAAATACAAATATGATACTAGGCATTATAAGTAATCTAGAGATTTAAATATGAGAGGATGTGCATAGGTTATATGAAAGTACTATACCATTTTATGTAAGGGACTTGAGTATCCTTGGATTTTGGTATCCACAGGGGTCCTGGAACCAACCTACCAGTTACCAAGGACGGCTGTAGACTGTTGGAGTCAATTGCCAATAAGTGGAAAAAGCTGAGCTTTCAAGCCAAGGCTCCTTATGACAAGAGTGGCCCGTTTCTGCCTGCTGTGCCTGCACAAAGTGCTGTAATCTTTGACTCACAAAGTAGTGCTGGTGAATCCCGGGTCTGATTCTCTGGTAGGAGTGGAGCATTCCCCAGCCCCACAAATCAGCGTGGGTCCTGTCCTCTCCTCCCGCTTTTTGCAGTGACCTTCAGAGCTGCCACCATTAACACTGCCAGCTTTTGCAGAAGAATATATACTGGCTCAAACCAGTTCCTTGTACATCTTTTTTTTAAACAGAAAAATATAAGAAATGGGTATGTTTTACTAAGTGGAAAGGGATGCTCTGAGCTATTCAAAGAGCAAAGAAAACAAAAACACTGATCTGTTCCTTGGGTCCCTAGCTTTCTTTTTTCAGGACTGTGGGCTTTATTTCTGCCCACCTATTGGCCACCAGACCAATGATGTATCTTTGATGATACTGTGAAAACTGTCGCTATGATGAGAGCATATTCCGTGAGAGCCACACAAGAATCTCAGACAGGGAAATTCCTCCTGTGGTCAGCTTGTATTTGACGTGTGGTTGTGGCCTTCCTGCCTTTCTTTTCTTCACTTCCTGGCCTTAACAAATTGTAGTGATCTCTAACGAGAAAACTAGCACACAGAAAAGAAAATTTATGAGTATACTTCCTAGAAAGTCCAATCTCATGTTTGGATTTTAAAAACTGAGCCAGATTTTTAAAAGTTGTTACCATCATCTGATTCTAAAATATGAGTTTCAATCTTTACTTTTATGCTTCTTAGTCTTCTAAAAGTTATTCAGAAGTATTATTGATATATACTAGAAAATAGAACTGCTTTTATTGGCCATCCTCAAGTTTAATTTACATCAAATACTTTGAAAGTCAGTGATGAAATGTTACCAAAATCAATAAATTTTGTTTTGGGATTGATTCCTTTCTTCCAATTGGTTGTTCTTCGTGCACTCTCAAGCAGCAGTCAGGAAACTTTCTGAAAAGAGCCAGCTAGTAAACATTGTAAGCTTTTTGGGCCATGTATGCGTCACTGCAGCTATTCAGCTGTGCTGTTACAGGATGAAAGCAGCCGTAGACAATAGGTCAACAACAGGGTATGGCCACATTCAAATACAATTTTTATTTTGGAAATTGGAATTGTATATAATTTGTACATGTCACAAAATATTTTTTAAAAACCATTTAAGAACGTAAAGATTATTCTAAGCTCACAGACCTTACGAAAATAGACGGTAGACCAGATTTGGCCCTGTTTTATGGCTTTGGTGGAATAGTAAACAAAACGTCTTCACTTGCATTTCTTCAAGTTCTAGGAGAAAGCAAATAAAGTTCTATTGCTATCAGAAATATAAAAAATACCATTGCCTACTGAAAGATTCTAAGCTTAATGTAAAGTCAAATACTCCAATTGATGAAAACGTTGAGTGATTTCTCCTAGAGATAACACATGTCATATGATTTAAGCAGAATAAGACCTCTGTAGATGGTAGCTCTGTTTCTTTGGCATCGGTTGATCAGTCACCTACTGTGTGCTCATCTCTGGCTAGGTGCTGGGGGTACGGCATTGAACATGGCAGTCTCCAGTTCAAGCTTTCACGGAACTTTTTATTTTGCTGGTAGTTGATTGATCCTCTGTAATTAGTTACCCGATCTGAAGCAAATCATATCTGCTGTGTGATGTCTCAGACACTAAAGTGACACAAGTAGATGTTTGGTACACAAGCTATTCTAAAACATCTCAGTTTTTGTCTGGTCCTGCGTCTGTCTAAAAGGATTTACCTATTTTTAGTAGTCCTGAAGGAAGGGTTAGAGCTTTTACCTTTTCAACTTTGGGGGCAAGTATGTAGTGTTAAACATATTGCTGTTTTCTTTCAGGTGCATGCTCCGAGTCCTCGATTCATTTGGTACTGAACCTGAATTTAATCACGCAAATTATGCCCAATTGAAAGGCCACAAGACCCCCTGGGGAAAATGGAATCTGAACCCTCAGCAGTTTTATACCATGTTCCGTGAGTATTCCTGTTTCATGTATGCTTTCCAGAATGCCACCAAGAATAGATGAGAAAATTAGCCGCCATCTATTTTGGGTTATGATTCTCAGGACCATTAGCTGTAGAAGTCTGTGCTGTTGAACCTTTCCTTGGGAATTACTGAATTGTTTTGTTTTGTTTTGTTTTGTTTTGTTTTGTTTTGTTTTGTTTTTTAGTTGAAATCGAAAGGCCACATTAACATTTTTTGAAAAGCTTTGGAAATATTCTGGAGAAAAAATGTTCAGTACAAAGTATCATTAGAAACTACTTGGGAAAGGACTTTGCAGTGACTTTAAATTGGCAGGCACTAAACACACTTTATGCCACATAGATGCTATTTAGGGTACACTTTGTCACTAATGAGGGGTGAAGTCTTTCATGCAGATCTATTTTCCACATAATTAAACCTTAATTATTTAAGCATCAAACTTTTTAAAGAAAAAAATAGCTTTTAAAAAATGGAAATGTTTTAAACTCAGTTTTGTATTTTACTGACTTCTTCAATCCTAGGCCCAGAATGAAATTTTACCTTCTCTTGCTGACTTAGTGTCATTGTTTTCAGCAGCAGTGCTTATTTCATGAGCCAATATAGTAAGAACAGCACACCAAATGATGATGAATTAACTGGCCACAGATGCTAGGCTCTTAGACATTTTCTGTTTCTATAGGGTTATTTTCCCACTTTTACCATTTCTTCCTGCTGCTTTCTGTTTACCTGGCACTAGCCTCATTTCTAATTAGCTGAGGACTGTGAACTCAAAAACCACATTTGATAGTGTTTATGCCAACAATGAATTTATTTTGTAAGTCAATAGTCTTGAGTAATGAGATGAAGCCCTATTCCAGAAGTGAAAGGCCACATGAGATAATTTGGATGATGAGAGAATTCCTGTTTTCTAAAATTATCAGGATAAGCTTGATCCAGAGGTTTCCACTTTGTAACTTCTGAGATGAATCTGTTTGCTTTGTAGAACCAAGACCCAAAAGACTCCTTCCTAATCTTCTTCCCATATGGTTGTCTCTTCCCATTGTATGCAGCTACCTGAAGGTAACCCCTGTCTCACACTCACTAAATGTAACAGCACATGCATTGGACTAATCTTTGGGTGTTAGGCATGAGAAGGGAGAATTAAGAATGGAGAGTAATTTTAAAAATCAACTCATCCTTAAGTGTTCTATTAAGCTCAGATTTGTGAGAGTGTGTTGTATGCTTCATAAACGTCATTGCTCATGGAGCTGTATCATCCTACTATTACACACCGTCCCTGGGGCACAGTTCATGGGGCAAATAGATTTTTGGCACATTAGGTAACAGATGGCTTTTAGTGTGGTGAGGATGCTCAGAGTTTGCCTGTGATTTGACTTTGCTGTGTAACTTTGAGGGATGGGATAAGGTGGCACAGAATAGCCTAAGAAGTGACCTGTGTGTTAAATCAAGTGAAATAAAACATTAACTGTGTTCAAAGTGACTAAAACCGCTGGGTGCTATGGCAGGTGTGTGCCCCACAAGAGATGGAGTTTCCAGGGAGTAGAGAAGAGAGGTTTTTTTTCCCCTAGAAAACAAAGTTCTATTTTAGAATGTTGGAATTCACAGTTCTGCAAACCTATTTTGTTCTCCATGGATGGAGAATTTCAGCAGTATTGGTTGATTAAATTGAAGGAAATTCACTGCTTAAAATGTAACTGAAGATAAAAACATGGATTAATTTCTGTTAACCTGGGAAGGGAATTAGTTCCCTAACCATGACTCAGAATTCAGCAGAAATGAGGGAAAATTGATATGCTTGACTATATTTTAAAAAAAAGAAGAACCTGTATGGCAAAACAACAACCAATAACATCGTAAGTAAATGATATCACAGAGGACTAAATTACTAATATAGACCCTTATATATACACATACATATATATTTATATGTATATGTAAATTATATATATATGTATTTATATATATATAAATTAAGAAGAAGTTCCATGTTCCAACAGAAAAATGGGAAAAGGCTATTAAGTTTAGAGGAAAGAGAAATTTACTGCTCTGAACATATGGAAAGATGTTAACTTCACTCACAGTAAGAGAAATGCATTTTTAAACTGCACCAAGATACCATGTCCCATGTACAGATTGGCAGAAATGCAAAAGTTGAACAGCATAGCTATTCTGATGATGCGGTGAGCAAAACCAGCCCTCTTCAACCCTAGTGGTTAGAGTGCAGCATGGTACTACCCCAGTGGGGATGTGTTTGTCAGGATCTAGTAAAACTGCCTCTACATTTTCTTTCTTCAACTAAGCACCTCGTATATAGGAATCTATTCCAAAGATAATGAGCAAAATCAAGATGTGGCATGTGCTCAAGGGCATTTAGTGCAGCACTATTTGTGATAGGAAGCAACAAGAAACAACCCAAGTAATCATCATAGAGGACTGAGTGAATAATATGATCCCTTAATAGAATGAAGTACTACGTAGCTATAAAAAGAAATGAGGAAGGCTTTCATTCCAGGAGGGGCATGTCTAGGATATTTTAAGTGATAAGAGTCAATGTGCAGGACAATGTAGAGCTACTCCCTTTTATATATGTCAGATATAGAGGAAGAGTGTGTGTGGTCATGTTAGTATATATGAATGAACTTATATTTCCAAAAGAAACAATGAAAGGATAAATAAACTAATAAAAGTGATTGCCATTGGATAAAGTGATTCCCACTGGATAAAAAGGTATCCAGGGATGGGGCTAGAAGGCTGATGTCTCTTAATGTTCCTTATTTTGACTTTAAGACCATGTAAATGTTTTACCTAATTTAAAAAGAGAAATATTCCGAAGAATTCAAAGTAGGATCTCGAAGAAGTATTTGCACATTCATGTTCACTGCAGTAGTATTCCTAATAGCCGTGAGGTAGAAGCAACCCAAATGTCCATCCACACAAGTGGATAAAGAAAAACATAGTGTACATATATATGCAATATTATTTAGCCTTAAAAAGGAAGGAAATCCTTCATATGCTACAACATGGATGAACCTCAAGGATATTATGCTAAGGGAAATAAGCTAGTCACAAAAAGGTGAATACCATATGATTCCACTCATAAAGTATCTAAGGTAGTCAAAATCATAGAAACAGAAAACGGAAAGGTGGTTACCAAGTTGGGAGGAGGAATTAGTGTTTAATGGCTATGGGGTTTTAGTATTACAAGATGAAAAAGTTCTGAAGATCTCTTGCATACCAGTGTGAATATACTTAACACTACTGAACACTTAAAAAAGGTTATGATGGTAAATTTAGTGTTACTTGTTTTTTACCACAATAAAAATTCAAATAAAAAAGAAAAGCATTCACTAAGAATTGAAAGCAGATAGAGACAAACCTAGCTATACGCATGAGGTTGATGTTAACCTCTCATATAGAGAAGATTATTACTTAAGTGGCTTTAAAAGACCATCCTTTGACTATACAGTTGTAGTGGGAAATATTTATATTGTAACTTGAAACTGTTATAGGTATGTTGTAGGAACCAAGATCTTTAGTATACAAAAAGAGGGGAGTACCTAAAGATTCTAGATTCCGGAATGATACACCAACCAAGAAAACTCCACAAAGTGTAGTGGGTCACCTTTGCAAATTGCTAGGATACTACCTCATTACTGTGAAAACTAAAGGGAAAGAATTCAGCTTTGATCATGCCTTTCTAGCACAAATTGTATTTGAAAATAATCAAACAGTTGATGAGAGAAAGTCATTAATCATGGAGAAATCACAACTAATAAATGCAAAAGGAATGAATTAGAAAATGAGCATTATAAAAGTCCTGATGAGACAGTAGAGCAAAACAATCATCATCAGTGGTCGCTAAATCCATCAAGTAACAGGTTGATGGAAAACTTTCTCATGGATGAGGCTGACTTGAATGGAGGAAATATGGAAATGAATAGAGAAATAAAGCAGTTTGAGACCTTTATCCTATTCAGATGTGTCTGAGCTGGAAAATTTGCAGCAACAACAAAAAGCTCCTGCACTCTGTTTTCCAGCGCCCGCCCACAGTGAACTTGGATGCATGCTTGGAAGAGGGTCCCTTTCTTCCCATGTGACAAAGGCCTGGGGTCCAGTCTACTAGGTCCTTCCCATAGAGCCCTCCATTCCTTTACCTTTTGGGTCAATGTGGCTACTGCAGTAGTCTGAAGAGAAATAGCATTCCTTTGAATATCAAAAGTTATATTTATTTATTGTTAATTTTTCAAAAGTGAAACAAATTTACTAGTGCTTAATATATGAGCTGGATAGTAATCATTATCTAATTTCTGTATAAATATGCACATATACTGAGGATATACTCAGAATCCTATGTGCTTAGATTGTGTTCTACTGATGGAATACTCAATGAAAAGTTCCGAGACTGTGGAAATAGAGTGCTATACTTGAGGAATCAAGTCTTCAGGACTAGCTGCCTTATCATAAGACGTAGCAGTGTTGTGATTTATGTGCAGACAGAGAGCGTGGGGAAGGCCAGTCCAAAAGAACCCGGTGGGAAGATAAAGAAAAATACACCATTGGGATGCATCTTGAGGAGCGGTGAAAGGAAATACGCTGGACCGGAATGTGTTTGCGTTCTTAAATATTCATGGTACACATCTCACTTTAAGACTCCTTCCGTTTGTCCTCTAACTCATTTTCTAAGTTGGTGGGGTTTCTACAAGTTGAAAAACCTTGCATTTCTGTATTATTTTGCCCACAGTCTCAGAAGTTCACTGGTGCCATTGCCATCATGTGTTCTCTTTGCAGTTAGGCATTTTAGGTGGTGTCCACATAGACTCTTCCTGACACCTTCCTAAGCAGCTTCTGGAGGGACTGGTGGCCAGACGATACTAAGGCCATTTGATTAGATCTATTAAGTGATGGTTTTTCCCCAGGAATCTGGTAAGTCTGGTTGTTCCTCCTTCTAGGCCCCCATTCCTGCTCGCTCCTCCTGTCCACGTGTTAACAT